CTTGCAGAATCCTAACTGAATATGGAAGTATGCAAATATAGGAAATGATTGTATGCTTGCTATTTCACACATGGTGTGTTCTTGATCATTTCTCTTTCTCTGCCCTCCTTCCCTAATAGAAAGGGAAAATTTAGAAGATGCCAACTCTTATAGGTGTCTGCCTCAAGGAAAACTTGAAAGACGTCTTGAAGACATGATAAGGCGTTATATCAAATGCAAGGATTATTATTTTATTATTTGTGCTCCTTGTCTAGCAATTACTGTAAGACCATTTAGGCGATGGTGGTGAACAGCTGGGAGTGTGTTACCAGGAAGGATGTTTCAGTCCAGGTCATTGGACTTATTGAAGATGAATATTTGCGGCAACAACATGAAAGAAGTTTCTTTTTGACTTTACCTGGCCTGTTGCCGTCAAATGTATTTTAAGTAAGCATTTGAGCAGTAAGGTAGAGTGTAACTGTAGTTGCTGATTTAATTCTGCCTTAACAGACAAAACAGGTGTATCTTCAAAGGTTTTCTTATTTGAATTCAGAAGGGGCAAAAGTATTGCTGTGAATTGAATCTCACCTTACATATTACATTTTTAATACACACAAATATATTATATGGCTGGGCATGCTGCATCTATTGTATACAAAATAATTTGAAATAGGAGCAAAAATGTTCAGAAACAAATACCTTGCAGTGAAGAAATTCAATACTGTAATTAGTTTTGTTATCTCTCTGTTAGATTGGCAAGCCAACTGCTGTGGAAACTAGAGAAATTACATTGCATCCTGTTACTACTCATTCCCACCAGGCTATGTTTTGACAGTGGCAGGCTGTGATGAGAGGTTGTAGTCATTCAAAACTGTACTTATTAAATTAGCTACTGTGGATCTACTACCTGACTTATAAAAAGCTAAAAGCTGTTCAAAATGACCTAAGTTTGGACCTCAGCACATTTCTATGCAGAGTGTTTCAAAATATATTCCCAGACGAGTACGATGAGCACTCTCTCCTTTAAAGAGTACAGAGAATCAGCTAAACCGCTGCATGTGATAAACTCTATAAATTGTTGGACCTATAGCCTTGTGAGATCTTGACTTATAAGTTAACCACTCCACATGCTATGTTGTAACAACTGTATGTTAAACATAAGATGTTAATTGCTATGTTGTAACAACTGTATGTTAAACATAAGATGTTAATTGCTGAATATCACGGTCATTCTGAAGTCTCTTGTGTACAATATTTATCCTGCATGTGATTGTCCATTCTTTATTCATTTGGGGAAATGGCTCTGTTGAAGTGTGTAAATGCACCATGTGGTCTGGACACTAAACCAGAACCTTCCTGGACTCTGTGACTCAATCAATAGTTTGTGCTGGCTAAAATGATCTCAGGATAGTGGTGGGAATATCACTATTGCTTTTGTGTGCTGAGGGATTAGGTTAGCTAGGATTTCAACTCTTATTGTTATTCAGAGCCCATGCTGGGAAGTGCATGAGTGTGGATGTCTGGTGAGGACATGTTCAATCAAGCTTGATAGTGTGCTGGCCTCTTTGGGTTCAAGCCCCAAACAGATGTCTACAGATAACATTGTATGAGATGCCATCCTTTGGAAGAGTCACTAATCTAAGGCTGCCTGTTTTTCTAATAGACATTAAAGATCAAATGCTTCACTCTTATAAGGCACCTGAAGCTTTTTATTTCTTAATACCCACTACTGCATCCCGTCAACACTTTCTATGCTTGGGCCACTTGGGCAAGGTACCAAATGACTGTCAGCATCTGTGGATTCAGGCCCAATATGAGTCACTACTTTGTGAGAGGAGGGGATATTGAGAGGGAGTATCTTGTCAACACACCGATTACAGCAAATGTTTCTCCTACCATCATTAATTTCACTAAATAATCCTCAGCTGTTACCATAATTACATAAACCCTCTGGACAGATAACACATGGCTTCCACATGCTCATCAACTATACAATTTTTTCCTTGTGTCCAAAGTCGTGATTGTAATGTTTTCTTCATAGTAAAATCTTCCTGATTAAACTATTTGTAGATACTATACCCTTATTATGAGCTTTCAGTTAGCTTGTGATTGTGGCAAGCATTAAGTGCAAGGTATCCAATGACTGTCATATCAAGGATCAAGCAAGAAACAACGTGAAATATTAGGCAATCCAATTACTTAATTGTAACTGATAAGGACTTAATGGCATTTTAACATTGCTGCACAATATATGCAGAATACAGCAATGAATAAAGACATTTCAACATAAAGCACTCTATTAAATGCTAGGATCATTATTTAATTAAATATGAAATTGTTAGACTTCACTAGCACTTTTGTTTCTGTTCTGGGGAGGTTAATTCTTGTACAGAACCACTGCAAACCACAAATATTAAAAAAAAGCTTGATTATTTCACAAATAGCTTGATGCTGTAATGATGGTAATGAGGACAGATGAATATTTTAGAAGAATGAGATCAAATGGGTACAAAAGATCTTCTTCATCCCAACCTCTCTTGTGATCTTGTGGATGGCACCGCTTTTATCAAAATACCCATTTCATGCTTTCCTTGTAATGAATTTGCAGTTTAAATTGCTTGGTGTGGAAATTGCCATATTCTCCTGATATGATATAATTTTTTTAATTTAAAATAACTGCACAAATCATCAAACACGGCCAACTCCATCTAAGTTCTGAAGAGCAATTTCCCCTGAAGAGTAATATTTCCCTGAGATCAAAAAACCAAGGCAAAAATCAAAAACAACCCTTTCAGTCCAGACCATAGCTTTTATTAGAAGGATGAAATATATTTAAAAATTATTTCTAGGCTTGGCAAGAAACTTGCTGTCAAGTCATTTCATTAATTAATAATTAATAAGACTATGGAGGTGGGGGGGTGGTCATCTGCTTATATTGATTATCATCCTATTATGTTTTTGAGAAATATTGAACCCAGTTCCCAAAAAACACATTTGTTTCTGGTGTATCTGTCGAGCTGCAGCTCTGCACTGATCAGATAGGATCTCCACAATGTGTCATCGATTGGAAAAACGCTAACAAATTAATACTGCCTCCTCTATTGCCAACAGAGGAACAAGAGGTGGCTGTCCAACCCATTAAAGCTAGTACTCAGTTAGATATAGCAGTTTATTAGATATGAAAGATTTTTTAAATCAAATTCTCCTGCCTTTTCTCCAGACCTCTTTCCACATATCTACAGTATTCATCTACCTATTAAATATCCCAGTTGATCCTGGTATTTTGCACTTATCTTAAAATATTAATTCCGTTGGTGGCTAATCTAATTTGGCCACCCTAATTTTGTGTAGGAATTGACGCTGAGATTTGCATATGACAAGAGCTAAATGAATTGTGAATTAACATTTCCCATTTTAGAAGTCAAATTAAGATTGAAGATTTGTTGTGCAATTAAAAGGAGACTTTCAAAAAAAGTAACCAATCAAAAAATAAATTGTATTAATGAACATCATGTTGTACTGGAAAAGCGATTTAATGTGATCTTTTATCAGCTCGGGTCTTGTGATCTTTCAGCATAAGTAACATGAAAATAGTTATTCTTGATGGATTAAAGCAGCTTACAAATTCAGACCACTTGTTTCTGCTGTCTTATCCAATTGAAATGTTCATTTAGTTTAATTATATTTCTTTCTTTTGATCTTCAATTCTTTACATTCATGTGCTCACACTTTACAAATTTTTTTTAAAAAATGAAAGAAAGTGACATGGTTGAAACTTGCACTGAGCCAGTCCGGAACCTTGTTTGACCCTCAACTGTCCATTCTATCTCACATCTGTGACTTGCTCTGTCTTACCTCACCTCTGCAACATTGCTTGGCTCCACCACTGCCTCACCCTCAGTCTGCCAAAATCTTCATCCATGCATTTATTACATCTAGGCTCGACTGTGCCAACTCCCTGCTTGTTGGCCGACCCAACTCTTCCTTCCACAAGTTGCAGATCATCCAGAACTCTGCAGCTCATGTCCTCTCCTGCATCAGGCACCGTGACCCTATCACCCCCATCCTCGCCCGGCCCCACTTGCTCCCCACCTGTCCACTCCCTCTGCTCAGCAGACTCCCTCCTGCTCCACGTCCCCAACCCAGCCCACCTACCCTTCCCCTCCCCCCCCCCTTCCCCTCCCCCCCCACCATTGGTAGTTGGGCCTTCCTACAATGCCTGTCTCAAGGCCGTCCTCTTTGATCACACCCTACCCCTACCCTCTATACCCTCCACCCCTCCTGATCCTAAACCCCTGCTCAGGTCCAAATCCCTGACTGTCCAGCTCTTTGGGACATCCTCTTGATATGAAAGGCACTATGCAAATGTAATTTGTTGCTGTTTGTGTATACTAGTCAGTTTTGTGCTAACCAACTTCATTTTCTCACCTGAGCTCACCTTCATCAGTAATTTATGATCCAACTGATTTGATTGCTGATATAATGTCATTACATTTATTACATTTCTGTACACAGCTCTCTATGATTTGCTGTATGGGGGAAAAGGAGTACTCAACAGTCCATCCCTTTGATTGATGTTTCTCTTCTGATACTCCCAAAGGGTTAGATGGCAATAATGTGGCTCAACCATGCTGCAAACTTCCAACTCCCCCCACCCCTCCCCATTTATAGCATAGCAACCTTGCCTCTGCTTCACATGGGTCTCTAGCAAGACAGCAGCTTCACAATTGTAATCAAATTGAAATAAGGTTACGTGACTGAATACTGAAAGGCAGTGAGAGAGGGTGGTTGTGTTCTCCCCCCACCCCTCCTTCTCTCAGTGCTGCACAGATCTGCCAACAGCATCAGTGACACTGGTTCTCCATGATTCTTTAGCTTGTTGCTCAGGCTGCGTTAGTCGCTGTGACTGAGAGCAAGAAGCAGGCAGACCTCTCTCGCACGGCATCTTTGCTTACTAATCAGCTGCCAGGAAAGACGGACTACCATGCTGGTGCTTTACACCTTTTTTCTGTCTATCCTAGAATCAATCTACCGCCGTGGGGCTAGAAGATGGCGGAAGCTCTATCGTGTGAATGGACATCTCTTCCAGGCCAAACGATTTAACAGGGTGAGTAAATTGGTGAATTGTTTCACGCTTATTTGCTTTCTGCTCGTCTGGTTGTGCATCTTGTCTCTTCTGTGCTCACTTGTGATGTGATCAATGTAAAAATATTCAGAGCATAGCCGCCGAGGGTGGAGAATAAACTGGTGCTTTTTTGTGTTGTTTACCAAGGGGACCATTGTGGCAGTCTGTTTGTGTGTGTGTGTACCTTCCTCCAGGCTCCATTGAGCTTTTATTTGTATTAATTCATTTTAAATTGCAGTGTTATCAGTACAGCAGTTATCTGCAATCTAGTTTGTTTGAATTCTTCAGCCCCTGAGGCATACTTTTCTGAGTAAAAATGATACTTACTGCCTTTATATTTAGGTGCACAGTTTTTGAAAGACCTAATTTGTAGTCATCTTTTAATTCACTGTTTTAAAGACAAATATTTTTTCCAACTGTCGTTGTTTAAGAGATGTGCAATTAATTATCTGTGCTATTATTTGCTTTGAATGAATACTTTTTTTTAAATAATCTGAAACCAACCATGGACAATGCCGAGGATTAGTAAACCAAAAGTGAGACATGTTCACTTGGATTTTAAAAGGATTATCTGGTTCAATGTCTTACTCAGTCTGTACTCATAATTTCGAAGCTATTTTGCACTTGTGCTCACAAACTCTCACTTCTGTTTTAACATCTCTGCAGGTGACGTAACTGCTTGCACTTCTTGTACCCTGTACAGTGTGATGTGATTTTGCATTTAGTTACTTCCAAAGCACTTCAAATACAATTGTTCCTCAAGTAGGCTGAGGTTGTGGTGCCTTGAAATAATCTTGTTTACTTGGAGGAATGGATACGCAACAACAACTTGCAATTATATGCCGACCTCCGCGCAAGGAGAGCTCTCAGAGCACATGCGGGAAGCAAACGGACCAGAAACTTGTGCAAACAGACACATAATTAATGGTTCTGAAGTCACGACTCTTATTTTCTGGCCGCAAACCTATCCTTAACTGTATCTTCAGTAAACTTCACATAACTCTTGCCCTTATAGATCGGAACAATTACCGAAGTCGTACATTTATCCCTGTCCTATTCAGTTTTCTATCGAAACCACTTTGTTTTCTTTGAATTACTCATTAATCACCTCCCAACTAGTAACGCCCCTCCCCTATCCTCCATTACTCCGGCTCTTACAACAACAACAAAATTAGATTTGTATAGCGCCTTTCACGTCGGGAGGATGTCCCAAAATGCTGGACAGACAGAGTTTTGGACCCGAGCTGGGTGGAAGACGGGGGAAGTAGGGAGATCGAAAGCACAGTCAAAGAAGAGGGTCTTGAGATGGGTCTTGAAAGTGGCAAGGGGCGGGGTGAGGCAGAGGGACTGCGGGATGGAGTTCCAGAGGGTGGGGGCAGAGTGGCAGAAGGCCTGCCCTCCGATAGTGGGGTGAGCAAAGCGGGGAATGTCAAGCAGGACGGAGCCTGCTGAGAGGAGGGAGCGAGCAGGATGGTAGGCTGCATTGAATCGCGGGAAATGAGGTACTATATCAATTTAATTTGTTGTTATTATTACAAAATTGCAGATAATGTGTCCTGACAAATGACGTATCAAGTAGGAACATGTTACAAGAGAAACTTACTTAAAGGAATTTAACTAGTCCCCTAAACGCAACATTAATTTTTTAAAAATATTTTGCCGTCTTAAAGGTAAAATCCACGTCATCTAAGATCATAATGCAGGGTGCTAGAATGCAGATTAGAACTTGTGAATTTTGCACCGTATTCACCCCCCGCCCCCCCACTGACTGTGATCACAACTGTGTCTCAGTGCCTTTACAAACGAGGCCACCAGGGGTTCTCTTATTGAGGTATTCTTAATGTTAACTTGTTGGCTTATTAAACTTTCTTCTCTGTTTCAGTGGATTGTTCAGTGCCATTGTTCTGCTAAGGGTGTTGAATGCTTTAGGCACTTTCCCTATCTCATGGGTGCATGAGATATTTTATTTTGTATTTTATTTTGTAAGATATTTCATTTGTATTTTATTTTTATAACACCTATTTTGTTTATTTGCTCTTCTAGTTATTCCCGACTGGGGAACTCGGCAGAGAGTTAATGAGTTATAATTTTTGCTCTGTAATTTTGTATTGCTGTAACTAAAATTGTTCCTTTATTGCATTTTTTTTGTATGTACGATGACACCCAAAGAATTCTGTTGCAACTGGTCTAAATTGTCATGTAATATAACAGCTACTGTGTTCAAAAGATTGTCCTGGTGGACAGTGACAGACTTCATCATTTCAGTTGTCTTTATTAGTTGCACTGCGCACACCATTGGATGTGCTGCCTTTAGAGCAATTCAGAGGCAGCGGATTAAAGCTACACTACTAGTTCTGAATTGCTCTGTCAGAGCTGAGTCCCTTCTAAGGCAAGCTTCTGTAGTTTGGCTCGATTGTACTTCAGCTGTGTGAATAGGTTCCATAGTGAAACTGCCTTGGGGGAATAGTTTTGTGAGACATACTCTTCAACAGAATCAATGTGAGTTTGCCTATCTCAAACCGTAGATCTGCAGTAATTTTAGCTAATAAACGTGGGCAATTCTATACACATCCAGTGAAACCTAATATCACTGCTGGTCAATTCACATGACAAATCAGAACACGAAACATTTTGCCACAAGTGATTAATGAGGCTGACACCATAACACGCTTTTACAGGGAAATAGATACCTCCTCAACAAATTACAATTTCTCCTAAACTGTAATTTCAACGAATCCAAGTGATATAATTGCAGAAATGTGCTCTTTATCTGCCATGACATCCACCCCTCAAAAAATTGTAAACATATATATTATGAAATGCAGTTAAGTGAAGCATGTCGAATTTGATAATCGATTAAATTAAATCTTGGCAGCATATCTTGTGACAATTTTAGTCCCATCTTCAATAGATAATGCCCTTCCATCTGAATATTTGTGAAATGCACCAAGGTAAATCCATTTTGTTGTCACTTTTGTCTTGTGCTTTTTTTTCTTTAACCTATTTTCTTCCCGATCACATGGATAGAGCAAATTCTCAAGGTGAAATTCATTGTGTGTCTCAATAGGAAGTGCCCTATATAGTTTTATACAGAAAGGAAGAAGGCAGAATAGTTTCTATTTTGCAAACTTTGGGTAAGCAATAGTTAATTGTACTAATATAATATTAATGATTATTAAGTGGTCATTTCTAATGAGGGTAATATCTAACAGTAAAACTAGTTAATTGCATCAATGTGTTAATATATTGATTGGACTCTATGGAACTGTGAATTCAATTGAAAGATTTGTAAGGACCAAAGAGTTTTAAAAATTGCCCTGCTAATCTTGTCATTCAAATTGTATAGGTTAATAAATCTGTGTTGAAGACATCTGCTCGTTCGGTGCTGACAAATTCTAGGATTCTGATTCTAAAAGCATCTGCAGCATAGTATAAAAAGCTCTAACCAACAAAAAAAAATGGTAACAATTCCAGTGTGCTTATATATATATTTGTAAATAGATCTGAGGTTACATTGATGCCTCATTGTAAACTACTTAGTAACCTTTCTAAAATAAACATAGTTTTGATTTCTAACAGATTTTTGATGACAAAAGCAGAGAAAGTGACAGTCTTACGATCACTTTGAGTGGAGAAATAACCACTTAACCTGCCTCACCTGTAGTCTGTGTTCATTCAGGGCAAGATGTTGGCCTGCCAGGGCGAGATATTAATATTAAATTGCTCAAGACTCATTATTTTCCTCTGTGTTTAATAGGTTGAGAAACTAAATTTAAGTTGATGTAATCTTTCTCCGCAGGAAGACAGTGTATCCCTGCGTGGGTGTTTGTCAGTGGCATGGAGCATGATTTGTGCTGAAAGCTCTGATTAAATGCTGTCAGCAGTTGTAGCTTTCTTTCCCACCAAACAAGTTCAAAACAATTACATTTTTTTAAAAAAAATCTACAACTTTGATGAGGTGGAAAAATCAGTATGGCTTATGGCAAAAGTGAGGAAACAATTATGGATCCGATAAATAAAACGTTGATTTAAATTATTTGTTGCAGAACAATACAATACTTTATTGAATTTCATTGTTGTTCATCTTTATATGCCTGGTTAGGAAAGGGAAAACTTTATCTTGCTTCCTAGAATTATTCTATTCTAGCAGTAAACATAGGGCTATAGGTATCGGTGTTGTCGTTTCTCAACTTGCTTTGAAAGATGTCCAAACATTGGTGGTGGAACAATGCATATGCTGGTTCTTTGTAAAAACTCTCCATTGTCCCAGTACCCGTCATTGCATTTTTTCCTTTTCAAATATGTCTCAATCCTTTTGTGTGTCGTGGATTCTGTTATGAGTTCACAGTTTCTGCCGTGTGTAGATGTTGAGTGGACGTGGCGTTCTTGTCTACCAGGACGGTGGAAAACTGGGAGGATGAATGGTCAAGTGAATGAATTTTGATATGTGCCATTACACTAGTAAATCCAGCAAAGCAAACATCTGAGATTTACCTCTGCTTGAAAATGCAGTTGTTACCCACTTCCACAATGAGGAAGTTAGAGGTGCACTCATCTGTGTCCTGCCTGACTGGAATCAGAAAGAGGTAACCTGGATGTAATCATGATCATCCATTTGAAGCTTGAATTTTCAAATCTCTCCTGATATTCTCTCCTGATTTAATAGTTTCTCTTTTAGACAAGGATTCCCCTGATGGCAACAACGTGATGTGAAATTGTCTGCACACCGGGTATGGGTGAAACTGACCAGAGAGGCAACTGGGGGAAGTGCATCAACCAAAACTAAAATAAGTTTCCAAGAACACAAACAGGACTTTTACTTTTTGTAGCCAGCCAGCAGTATGGAATTTAATGACAAACTTTTTCTTTCAAAAATATTGCTGTCATAGGCAGAGCAAAGAAATGAAATGTTGGCCTCTATAGGATTCTTAGAGATTCAGATATTACTCATGCATCCCTTTATGCTGAAGTGCCATTGGGATGTTTAAAAATAATTGATTTTTTTTTCAATGTTTCAGAGCTGTCCTCGTGATTTGTATTTTCCTTCCCTCGGGCACAACAAGTCTCCTCTGCGTGGCAGATGGTTTCTGTTAGAGGAAACAAATCTTTAATACAGGGCTTGCTGGGCTGCTCTCAGCGACAGCCTTCCTTTTGAAGTTACTGGAGATTTTATAATAAGATCCCCAGACAGCAGCAAGCATGCTGTAACAAGTAGTGTTAGGGTGTGCATAAATTGATGCTGATATGAACTTTTAAAAAAAAATATGTATAACTCTTCATTCTTCTATACAGTTCTCTTGGTACAGAACATTAGGACATGGAAAGGCCTCTATGATGGCTCATTTGGTGAAGGCACTACCCAGTTGTACTTTGTCATGTTGAGCCATACAGAGCTATCTAGGACAGTGCTAAAAGTACTAAATTTGGCATTAACACACTTGAACTAGGGAGAAGAAAAATCAGCATGGATTCTTACTTCTGATCACTATCCACTGACTCCTGCTGGAAAGTGCACATGTGAAGACATTAAGTGAGGAAAATTGGCGTTCGAGTTCATGTTGGCAGCTGCAATCTGTACCCTTCCAGTTCAGGGGCTGATGATGGCAAATGAAACCATTTTTATCTCCTCAACTACATACTGTTGCTGCTTGAACTCACAATTTAGTAGATATTTAGGAAGGTTCTATTCATGACTCTGAGCACTAATAATAATGGCACCAAACTGGCTTTTCATGCCTCATGACATCCACAAGTTTTATTCATCAATCTATGACACTTAAGCTTGATTTGTTTATAGTTCTAATAAATTAACACGAATGATGTGCGTTAAATTGTGTTCTTCTCTTCCACAGAGGGCCTACTGTGGACACTGCAGTGAAAGGATATGGGGTCTAGGGAGGCAGGGCTACAAGTGTATCAACTGCAAATTGTTGGTCCATAAGCGCTGTCACAAGCTTGTTCCTCTGTCCTGCCAAAGGCATATGGTAGGTGGTAGCTTTATTTTGCCTGTGTTATCGATCTGTATCAGGTTCTACTTTTCCTCTCTATTGTCATCCCTTCCCAATACACTGCACAACTATAGCTTTTAACTTTTACCTTGAGTCAGAACGAAAGCATGTTTCAAGTCTTAGACATTGCCAGGTCTGAAATTGTTACTACCCCACAATTATCTGGTCAAATATTTTCATGCTGTTAACGTCAATAATGAGTAATATTAAATAAACTGGTTTAATCCATTAAAACTAGTATCAGTTCTTAAAGGTTATTACTGAATTGCAGCATTGTACCACATTACATTAAAATAGTTATTTTAGAGGTTTGGGGATTGGGGCTAAAAGTACTGTTCGAACAAAAGGCACAGGAAGAAATGTACAGAAGATTGCAGTAGCAGCAATCAAGTACAGAGGATCCATATTGGCAAGTGCCATGGGAATAGTCAATTTCAAAGGGCTTTCTCCTGAGTGACTCCTGTCAAATAGCCAATTTTCTGTTATTTTCAATGATTTTTGCAGAATGATTATTTGAAGTGTAACCATTCTGATCTCCACATCGGCAAACAGCAGTGCAAAACGTTTGTTTTGATTTAAACATTTTGAAGCATACACACGTTTCAAAATCTGCAGAGCAACTTCAGTAATTCTTTTAATTTACACAGAAAAACAAACACGTAGAATGGACAAGATTAGGGCCAAACTAGTTTTTCCTTCTGTCCCCACCACAACTTTGATTTTTACTTTTCTTCAGTGATTCCTTTCAACTTTTCCCCCTTATAAAGTTCATGATCCATTAACTGAGTCCTGAGTCCCTTTCTGCTGAGGTGGCTGGCAGGTGAGCACAATTCCATCCACAAGCTTGGATGCCAGTTTGCGGACATGGCCGAGCCATGGCGAGAGATCAAAACCTACCAACTTTGGCTCCAGTAACAAGCTGCATAGCCACTTTGGAGCCAGTCGTTGTTTACCTTCCAAGCGTTACTTTGTGGGTGGTTTGTGCTGTGATTGGAATTGGGAATTAATGTTGTTGAAGACTGCACTTGATTGATGATTCTCATTATTAATTGTGGTGCTCCCGTTCACTGATGGCTTGGCTTTGTCATAAAGGGGAGAATTATCCGCACAGCCCAAGGAGTGGATTCCACCATGAATTGAAGAGGAGCTCTGCTCTAACCATCGCACTTCACTGACTTGGATTGAATTCAGGCATTCCCTACTTTGCTTATGATGCCAAGAAAAATTTCAGTTTGAGCCAAAACTAATTCCACGGCTCCAGTTAGTCCACCTCAGTGTTCGGCAGTATTTGAATTTAACACCAAAGTCTTCTAGTAAAATCCTAATAGATTATTTACTTTTTTGGTTCATATTCCAGCCACCAGTGCAATTTTACTGGCGGCACAAAGTCTCAACATTACTGGGTTCAGTCATAACATGGGTGAGAAGAATGGAAAGAAAATCTAAAAGCACGGTTCGGCTTGTGCAGAGAGAAACACAGGATATCACACTATTATAGCGGTGAATTGCTAGCTTTATTATCTTTTTTTTTATGAGCTCAGCAGGTAGTGTTGAATTCTTGTCTTTCTCACAAATGAAAAGAACCCAGTGAAATCACTCTACACACTCTGAGGTTCCATTTACTCTAAGGGCTTTAATGTTTTTAAAAGGAAAAAAGACATATATATTTTATACATTTAAACAAAGACTTACTGAATTCATAAATCTATCACGCTTTCCCCTTTAGATCAGAAGGTTCTTGGTTCGAGCTTTAAGTCAGGACATAGGCTAATCGTATCTGGCTCTCCAGTGCAATGCTGAGGGAGTGCTGTATTGTTGAAGGTGACATCCTTAAACTGTGGTCCTATCTGTAGCGATGGTGCTTGTGATCTTTAAAGATCTTGCGCGGTGCTTGGAAAAGAGCAGCGGGATATCTCAATGCCTTCTCAATATTCCTCGTTACAAATTTCATTAAGGTAGCGATCACCACATTATGTTTTCTGGGATGTTGCTGATGCAGATCAGCTGATGTTTGCCCACATATTATAAATACAGGCAGTATTGCAATGCTTTTTTTGGGGAAAAAAATACTTTGTAGAAAGTCACCTTCCCAGAAGTCCCACAAAAATACGGTCAATTCACTTTACAGTATATTGTGTGAAGCGCTTTGAGATGTCTAGAAGTGCTATACCAAATGCAAGGATTATTATTATTATTCCCCCTTTGGACTGTCACCTGCCTTCCACTTGATCCTGTGTTCAATCAAGATTCGGAGCTTAAAGACATTATCTTTTGGGTACTTTACAAGGTGGCATCTAATTGCCACATCATTTCATAAATGAATACGTTGGGATACACCTGACTGGCACATATTGGAATTTAATCCAGGCTCTTGTGCAAGTGGATTTAACTTCTGTGCTACTGAAAGGCATGAAAGATGCTATACAAATGTAATTTTGTATTGTACTGGATCTAATAAAGTACCTTTGCTTCTTATTATACCTGTATTCTATAATGTGTGGCACCTATCTCCTGCTATCTGATAGTTTGCAATAGCCCCCCTGGTTTAAATGAATCCTTATATCCTGAAAAATGGCCTTCCCCCCTCCCCATCAACCACATCAGACATATTAACTGTTTTGTTCAATCTACCATAACCAGGTTTTTTTGTTCTTATTTCCTCTTTTTAATGTTCAGGATCCGGTCATGCCTTCCCCCGAACCTCCAATAGACAAAACGGAGGAAGTTGAAATCCCTTCAGAAGACCCTGATGGAAGTAAGTCTTTAAGTTACCTGTCTCTGTGAATGATTGAAGGTAAGAAATTGAAGGGAATTGGCCAGAAAAAGGATTTTGTAGCAATGATGAAACAAAACGTCCTCCCATCTTGAAAGGCGCTGTACAAATTTAATTTTGTTGTTGTACTCCCATTCCAAGTGCAACATGGTTAGATACGGACTAAAACTCTCTCTCTACTCAACATTGTAATTCATTTCCAACTTCAAAAGCCACAATAAACTTTCTCTACTTCCCCTGCAATATTCAGCGGCCTTTCTGAATCCAATTTACTTAATTTAAAGATGCATAATTACTTATTTTATGCCCTTTTGTGCTATTCTTACCACCTGGGAATTGGGTTGAAACTGGCCCAACCCATTTCAAATTGGTAAATTGGGGAAAAAAAATATCAGCTCATCAGTTAATCTCTGAAAGGTAAGAAGGCCCATGTGCTGCTCCGTTGCAACACTCACTTCCCCAACATTAAATGTTACTGAACCTGACCAAAATCTATTGATATGGATTGATTCAGTCTGTAATGATGACCTAAACCACTTTGAAAGCAAACCCAGTGCCAGTTCGATCAGGGATCCACACACATTTGCACGGCTTTGTGGTGCCCCGAAAAGCATCGTGACTTGAACCATGTTACTTAGTATACTAATTTAAACAATAATCAAAAAATAAAAGGAGTAAAATATTCTATGGGGCAATGATGACGGAAAGTCTACGTTGAAATCGAATCCCTGTTTGAGTTCACTCAAGTGCTTCCTTTTTAAACTGGAGTTGTTGATTATTGTCTGATTTGCTTTGGTTTGTTACGAAGCATGGGTTACACTTGAGCGTCCCCTACTGGGTAACTGGGGAATGGCATTGACAAGCCAGGAGGTAGGTCAAGGTCTAGGGCAATCAGCTAGTGATGATATTAGTGGAACAAAATGGAAAAAAATACTTGTTTCCAAACATTTGTATTCACCATGTAAATGGGCCGAGCGAATAGCTCTGTTGAATTGTTTTTCAGCATCGATTGTTGTTTGAAACAAAACCCTGATGAGACAAAACCAGTTATGCAGATGGTTACTGAATCATCAGTGAGCAGCAGCTGGTTTCAGTTCCTCTGGTGACCTCTTGTGGGTAGTAAATCTGTTGTCAACAAAAGAGATTTGAATAATTTCTATGGATTACATTGGAAATTTGTCAATTTGTTTCATTATAAACTTAAGGCCTGTCAAGTTTTTTTTATATAAAATGACTAATTATGCAAGTTTATTTTTCTTTCCCATGTATATATTAAAATTATTAAATTAATAATTAATATAATATAAAATTAATAATTTTAATGGTTATTAAGTTGCTTGCACCTTTCATGCCCCAGCTCCCCTTTTAAGCCCAACGTTTTAGAATGTCTCCCACTTTATCCATATCATGGATAAACTTCAGTTTATTTCAGTGATTATGTAATTAAAAATTGCGCATTGAGTAAATGGCTCCTCATAGGAAAAGTGCATGTGTCTTTGAGGAACTCTATGTATGTTGCACCAAGGCCCAAGAACTTGGCGCTTGTGATTCAGTGTGACGCACATGAGGTTCATCTAACACCATTTAAACTGCAGTTTTCTCAATGAACCCCATTGATTTTGAACAATGATTCAAAAAGAATAAAACTCAACTCAACAGCCGTGACAATAATGGGAGTGTATCTTCCAAGTTCCAATATAGTTTTCCTTCCCCACAGCAATCTTGATTAACAGCTTGAGATCATTGTAAGAATTTTGAATACTGAATAAATGGTATAGCTGATCCATAGTATCTCACCTTCCATACCTCCCACTGACCTCCCTGATTATGTTAATATGCCTGAATTAATTATTAAAAGCCTGGGTGAGTAATTCCATTGATCTCTAATAGGAGTATGAGAGGGAGAAGAAAAGCAGCATCTGGAGTTGGGCAAAAATAACTTTCCATTCAAATAATTTAAGTAGTAGAAGTATTGATGCAGAAGCCCTCTGCCAGCACCTCAATTAATTGATAAAAGAGCTGTTTATATCTTGGAGTATTTTGTGATGGGTGAAATTAATCTACTCCTTGTTGGAATAAGTGGCATTCGTTATTAGTACAATATATAGAAAAGCCTCATGGTATTGGCTCCTAAGCCTGTAATGTGCCCTCCATCCCAAAAGTAATGTAGAGTGCTGAATATGAATCCGTTGCATTCTAACATTATTAGGATTGTAGAGTGGCTCTGTCCTTGCAGCTCAAGCATGCTAAACAGGAAATGAGCAGCAGAGACTGGAGATTTGGGTGTTCCCAAGTGGATGCAAGTTCAGAGCAATAATTTGCAACATAAATAGTGTGATAAATTGAAATGTCAGCTGTGGACAGATGAGGGTTCAGGGATTGGGTTGCACTCGAAACACAACACCTGGGTGAAGAACTGAAAGCTCTGCATTTTTCCAATCATTGTCACAGTTAGAAGGTCAAGATGTTTTCTCAGCTTTTTACATCAAATCTGCCTGAAAACGACTGGACTGCGGATCACATTACCTGTAATTCAATGTTGCACCAGAGTGTTTGGATATGTTGCCATAGTAGTCGAGGATAACACAGTGTGAACTCCCCTTTACTTCACTTTTTATTAACAATATTACCAGACAAGTCCTGAATGTAGAACAGGCAGTTTTAGTTCAAGTTACATTTGGTCTCAGTTAGAAATTGTGTTCTGAATGTAATAATAATAATCCTTGTATTTGATATAGCGCTTTTCAAGTCTTCGAGACATCTCAAAGCGCTTCACAGAATATACTGTACAGTGAATTGACTGTATATTTGTGGGCGAAACGTGGCAGCGTCCCCACAAACAGTCATGGAATAGCATAGTGCCATTGTGTGAATCAGGTTGCCTCTCCTCGAGTTCCTCAATAAGACGGCTCCAGCCATTATAAAATTACTGTAATAAAATAAACAGTGAACGAGAAGAGCAAGATGCCCCCATTCTATAAGAAATCAGTATTTGATTTAGGATGGTTTATAACTTTATTCGTCTAGATAGACTGCAAAGATAAATGGATTCAAATTGAGGAATTATTTTATTTTCATTCAATCTGCTGTTCAATTAGCTACTCCTCCCAGCCTGACTGCAGTACTGTGTTTTGTTTTATGCAGCATGATATTTTACAATGGTTCATTCAAGCATGGATTCCACCTTGGATCAAATTTAATAGTTTCAGCAAACTGATTATTCCTGAATAGACAATTCATGTACCTATTGAGAATAAAGAGCTGTTATTTTGAGTTGTCTATCCAATAAGAAATTGCTTGTTTTGGCTATGTTTGTAATTATATGAGAAATAGTTTTATTTTAACTCCAATTTTCTCCCCTTCCCTCCTGAAGACATTTTGTCTCCTTTCTTTCTACCTTTCCCTCATGATAGAAAGGAATTCACCCTCCAGGAGTAACAACAACAACAATAAATTACATTTGTATATATAGCGTCTTTCACGTCAGGAGGACGTCTCAAAGCACTGAACAGTGCAGGTAGCTACTGTTAAGGTGTGAGCCTGTGTTTGAGGGAAATAAAGGGAAGCAAAACATTTTAGCTCTCCTAAGAGATTGTAAACCTCTATTTCTTCCCTGTAAAGTGAATGAAGCAGAGAATATTTTTTTAAAAGTGGTGACATTGAAACTTAGTAGTGAAAAGTGAAAGCATTTCTCACAATTTCTACAAATCAGTCATCTTCTGAAATTAGTGATGTATTTGGACTGATAACTAACTAACTCATAAATAATCCCGCTTTTCTGTCAGTCGGATAAAATGAAATAAGCCCCTTGCTTGTTGCTCTCTTACAGTAGTGCCGTATCTGCCACACAGCCGGACTAAGTTGGATAAAGTCACAGATGACTCGGAGGTAAGTTTTGCAATAAATGGTAAGAACATCCTTGTAATAATTCCTGCATGTAGTGCTGTGCACTGAACTCAGACTCCAGTTTTATTGTCATAGCTCATTATGACTTACTTCGGCATCAACTGATGCCTGGAGATGCATTGTTGTTCATAACCTTTTACGAGACGAATATGATTATTCAGAACTTTTTTAATGTATTTAGAAATTATGCAGAACAAGTGAGACAGTTAATGGATGGAAGGGTTCAAATATGATGATAAATGCAATATCCCTCAAGCCTTGAAATGACTTTCAACCAGTATTCTATACAATCAGGAGCTTGGGGAATGGGTTTTATTTTGCTTTGATAAATTGTGTTTCTACCAGTGATGGATAGCTTGGCAGAAGATGGAATGTGACAACTTTTTTTAAGTGGTAGATATTCTTCAGTTACGAGTATTCTGTACCTATACCAAACTACAGTACTTTATTTTTCTCACTTGCTAGGATCTCAAGCCGGTGGTTGATGGTGTTGATGGAATCAAGATTTCCCCAGTGCTGGGTTTACCAGACTTTGACCTTATCCGAGTCATCGGGCGTGGCAGCTACGCTAAAGTTCTCCTTGTACGCTTGAAGAAAAACGACTGTATTTATGCAATGAAGGTGGTGAAGAAGGAACTTGTTCACGATGACGAGGTATATATTGATCATAACCGTGGCTTTTAAATGAATTAATTCAGGAATTTAACCATTCGTGGTCTCAGCAACGCAATCATCATACATTGTAATCTTATTCTGATTTCCTTTTTTCTTTCCAGTTTATTACCAAGATGTTGTCTCCAGAAATAACACTTAAGATGATATGTTGTCCCATTTTAAAATAACATTTTAGATGTATTTATTGAACCCACCACAATCCTTAAAAAACGTTTTATACGCAGCTGTGCCATTGTTCGTTTTTTGTTATGAGCAAACTGCTAATTAATCCTACATTGTTCACAGTTTTAAATGCACCTATTGTTGGAATAGAACCATCCTTCCACTCATAAAACTCATACAAATTTCCGGAGTCATTTGGGAGTAAGGCACAAGTTTGACCCATAATAAGCAGTGTAAATGCTGCAGTACAAGCCAAGCATTCTGAATGTATCTGGCTGCTGGTGGCCTGACAGATGAGAGGAAACGGACTGCCATGCAGTGTACTGTGCTTCTTTTTTTGCAAATGTCTAAAGAGGAATAAGGAATCTGAGAGGCTCTGTGTGAAGTGTGTGTGCGCTGATCATATATAAGCAGCACGATTGGGTTGATAATGCTGCTTTCAATCTATTTAGAAAGGTGGAAGAATTTTTTATGGAGTGGCTGGATATTGTAAAATTGTAGATTTATTAGGATGTTATCGGGGATGAGTGAATACAGCTATAAATGGATGATTGGACTGGTTGAAGCTTTTCTATGGTGATGAGATTGAGAGGGGACCTGATAGAGGTGTTTAAAACTATGGAAGGATTCAATGAGGTGGACACCAATAAGATCTGTTTGTTGGTACAATGACAGGAATATTGGGTTGAGGCGCTGGATTAAGTTTACGGGGCCCAGTGCTTTTGCTAACGTAGAGCTGAGATACTGGATTGTGAAACCGGGTTGTTTTATAATTGGGATAATTAGACTGGTGGGTGGGGAGGAAGAAAAAAATGCTAGTTTGTGCTTGAGCAGCTTTGTGCATGCCGAGCGTTGGGCGGAAAATAACTCAGAAAAGTGCAGCAAAAGAACTTAAAAAGTAAATTTGAATAATGTTAAACAATGTGGGAAGGATTGCGGGGACTCTTCTCCTGCCACACGCCCAGCACTGCACCACAGCGCCATCTTTAGGCTCCACTCACCCACCCGCTGCTCCTCTGACCCGCCTGTGACCGCCTGCGTCTAGACAGTTTGCGTTGAGATGCCATGAATTTTATTTCATAAGCTTCTTCCAGAATATTTGTGGTAATTGTAAAAGTTATGAATACTGTAGGAATGCAAAATCTTTTTTTCTTCTGTGCTCCATGTGGGAAGCATTATGCATATATATCCATGTATGTTTACATGTATTTTTCAGGCACCATGGCAACCTAAAGTCTCATTTAAACCTGCATGCCAGGGTTGTGTTACAATATTCCAGTAGGTATTAAATTCCTTGACTGAGGAAAAATGGTTTATTACTAATAAAAGGCATATGATCATCTTAAAGATGTGTATATAATTAATAGCACCAATTACTCATTGCCAAAGAGCTTGCACTTGTATAACGCTTTTTACATAGGTGAACGACTCAAAGTCCTTTACAAAGGCATTCAGAGAGATCCATTTTTAGGATTTTTTTTGAAAGCCGATAGAGGAGGCACAAGGAGAGTGAAAGGATTTAGAGGGAAAAGTTCAAGTGTGGGGACAGGGCAGACGAAGGAACAGACAGACAACAATGGCTTTGGAGAAGTAATGGAGAAAATAAGGAACCAGCTCTAGTTTGTACTGTTCCTAAAGGAGTTAAACCAAACCCAACCTGGATACCGAGGCCAAATGGGCAATCCCTGTATCTTAGGGAAAAATAATTCAGAGGAGGAATGCAAAAGATCTCTAAATCATCAGATATCTTCCATTGTTAGATTCTATATATTGAAAAGTTCAGCAAATTCAAGTGTACCCAAGGAAACTTTTTGATGGTGCATTTGTTGTAGATTTTTTTTAAGAAAACGCGCTCCTCAGTGGATCAGAGATGCAAGCTGTGTGTAGTCACTGTAGGATACAGGGATCACGGTTTATTGATCAAATTGCATAGAATCATGTTACCTCACTGCTTGGCCAGATACCTCCTATTCCCCTTCAGCCACTTGTATTACTCATTTCAAGCATGACACCTGCACAGCACCAAAGACCTTGTATTTTTACAGCCTTATCATGATGAAAAGTCTCAAATCATTTAACAGGTAATTAAATAGCTGCTTAACCCCAATGAGGGGAAAATAACTCGGAGTCTGCAGTCAGGTATTACAGCCAGTCAAAGCTATTGGCCACCCATTGGAAAATGACTTTCTTCAATTTAGTGATTTTGATTATGGTGGGTGACTCTTGGGAAACATACCTCTTTAATAAACTAATGTTCCATCCTATTGAAGCACACGGCTCACAGACTTTAGTATATTTGATTTCGCATCTCATCCTCTATTTATTCTACACTTTTAGTGTAGATTCAGTGAACCAGTGCTAAAGGTGCAGTATTTATCGGGCTTAAATGCATCAATTAGATTCCAATCTGTACTCTGGCAAACAACCTGGGAGAAGTTAGTTGTTGTAAAAATCAGATACTATGCATTGTGGCAGATTTCAAAAGAGTTTTTTTTTTAAAAATTGGAAAGATCACTGAATGGAATCTTGTTGTTGTTGAATGTTTTTTTTAACTTTTAATTGTTGGTTGCATTCTCAGAACAAAATATTAGATAGAGAGCAAGCAAGCGCCATTTAACGGCATGTATCGAACGTACATAGTTACGCACATGCAGAGCTTTCCTCAGGTCCAGGCAGAGCCATTGTAGTGCGGGAACTATAAATCCCATTTCAAGCACCAAATTCGCTCTGGTCCTGGAAGTGTTGATGTGTAAATGAGACACTTTGTTCATGATTGTTTTTGAACCTTGCACATGTTTGGTAAACGTATATGTGTCAGTTCATATATAACGTGTAGTGTTTAATCTAATAATTGTTTCTTATTGTAATGAACTCAAAAAGCACACGTGTGGCATGGAAACTCTTGCAATTTTTTTTATATATCCACATCTGTGATGCCATAAACATGATTAAAATCAAGCATGTGGTATAAATAGACTCCTATGATCAGTGGGGACATGTGAAAAATAATCTCGGCTTGTGAGGCAGTTTGTAACTCACTTGTGACTTCATTGCTCGGGAGTTGCCCCGGCAATCCGCTTCACTTGTGGAGCTGTTTGTCATCTCCTTCCCTCTCTGACACACACCTGCAGACTTCAATGAGGCAGCTGAGGGGATCCAAATATTTGCCTGAAAAAAAAGTGCTCCATAAGCTGAGGAAAGTGCTTGTAAAAACATTGAAATACCAGACCTGGCTTATTTTTCAGATCTCCAGCACTGTCGAGAAAAACTCTTTTATTGGTGTTTTTGTTAAAAAAAAACCTAGGATGGAAGGGCCAAGACTCACAGCGCAGTACGGCAGCAAGGGTGAAAAGAGTAGGCGAGAACACAGGATATGTCAAGAAGTTATGAGGTGATGTCAAAGCTTCAGTTTTAAAAGCTTGCAGAGCGCAGGAAAGACAGAGGCGAGGAGTTTCTGCAGTTATTAGGTACCAGATGTGAAGGTTTTCTTTCCTGCATGTTTGTGCCCCTGTGCTTATGTGACCAAGTAATAGTGCATATTTGTGATCATGGTTTCCTATACTGTGATCACAATATCAGATGGCCAGTGATGAGGTGAGAGAATAGGAGCGATCAATGCCAGCGACTTCACTCCGAAGGAAAATGTGAGGGCCAGTCATCCACAGCTGGTGTTAGACTTTCAGCGTGTCCAGTTACAGAGAGGCATTGGCAGAGAGGTCTGGAGGTTGCGCTTTTGGCTAAGAGGTGCGCTGTAACACTGGGAGAATCTGATCTGAGGCAGGGGAGAAAAATAAGACTCAGCAGAAATAGTTTTCTCAGTAAAACTGAGTAAAACAGTGAAATGAGTGTGAAGGAATCACATTGGCTTCAGATTTCGAATGCCTGGCTGGCACCAACAGTATAGAGAGGGCACATTTGCACCAATGGAAACTGTTACCTTATTGCAGACTTTTTCCCCCCCTCCATCCCTTCCAATTATTTAATTGATGTTTGGGCAGAAAAGGCTCTTTATTATTCTATCACCAGTAGATGGCGGTATTTCCTTAACTTACTGTTTTGCTAACCTCAGTGCACTGATTCATTTAATAATGTCCCAACTTGAACTTTAGGCTATGGAGAAAATGACTAATAAAGTAATACCTGCATTTGATGGCATTTTATCGCACCAGTGTGTCTCGCAGTGATTCATACAGTGAATTGCTTTGAGGTTAGTAAACTGTTATGTACCAAATGTGACAGTTGGTTATGCGAGCATTTACTCCATAAACTACAGTAAGACGAATGCCCAAATTTCATTTGTCTTGTGTGAATTTGGACACTGGGAGAAATAAATTCTCTGCTCTTCTTCCAATAAAGTGCCTCCAAGGGAAAAGGAAAGCTTTACTTTTCCCGTAAGCAGTGTAGTTAGTGGCTGTGTAATCAATGAGCACAGATCTGAATCTTCATTGAGATTCACAGCAGAAAGCATGAATAAAGCCCTTTAAGGATAGCCTTTCACAATTGTACACAACTACAGAGAAGCTTTTGGATGGCAAGATCAGTATTTTTCTTCCATTTTCTTTCCTCGCTGTGCTGTACCCAAGTGGGAAGCCAAGCTGCCATAGGACCATATTTCTACCAATTTGCCAGCAGGTAAGAAGTGGTGGTGGCAGCCTGGGCTAATTCAGTCTCCAATTTGTTTGTGTCTGATCTTGCTCAATGTCTTCTGTTCATCCGTCTGGCTTATTGGTGGCATGTCAGGAGATTGTGAGTTCAGTTACGTTGAGACTTGAACTCATTGTCTAGGCTGACATAGTACTGAAGGAATCGTTGGCCTT